TTGCGACTTGATCCACCAAATGCAAATTAAGTTTTGCGACTTAATCACCTAAATGTGGATTGTGTGGTTAGTAAATTCCATAGCCATACTGTCCATCGCGCACACTAAACTATGTGCTGATGGAGCATTTTGGGGAAATGGACTCTCCTTTTTTTTCCTCCCAAACAAAATATTATTAATAAATCAACATAGTCCATCTCAGTCCTCATAGCCAGCCTCAAAATTAGGCTAGGAAGTTTGTTTTAAACAGCAGACACGCTACAGAACGGAGTGTGTCAAAACGAGTGTTTGTTAATGTTTAGTGATAAAGAATCATGAAACGTTGTAGAATAACTGACTTTTTTTCGTCCGCTGTTGCAAAGAAGAAAACGACAGATAGTCCTGGTGGGTTATTGATTTTAAAATCAATTAGCCTAGCCTAGATGTTGACTAGCTAGGTTCGCTCCTTGTTCATTTAGATACAGAATTATAGCCCGACGACAACAAAGTGTAGGCCTAGGCCTACGGCCTAAGTACCGTACAGTAGAACGTACTACAGGTAGGCCTACTAGGCCTAGGCTTTTGTTGTAAAAGTTGAAGTGCATGTACAGGATGCGCCATAGGCCTATATTTAAAAAAATACATTTTGTTAATTATTATTGGTTGGCCTGGGACGGACCTAGGCAGGCAGGCCAGCTTTACCGTCGGAAGTCCTGGGATTCGTTGATGACGTCCGTGCACGTTTACAAACGCCATTGATTAGAAAGATTATGAAAGAAAGAATTTATCGAACATTTATCTACATAAAAACAAGAATAATATTGTAGAAATTATATTTCTAAAGATGCATGTAATTCATATTTTATTTTGTAGACAATAAATATTCAGTAAGATATACTAAAACGATTATTAATTCTGAAATGTGCATCTCAGCTATTATTAATCAGTAGGCTATGTATTATCTTATAAAGTCTTAAAATAATAATTTCGAATTATGCTATATTTTGGGCTCTGACTTAATTTAACGATGGCCCTATCAGTAGTAATGGCAGTATTTGTGCTTTTTTTTAGCCATGTAGTAGAATAGTACTATTATTATGAGAGTCAAGAAGAAGCCTGCACCTAGGTCAAAAGTCGAGAAAGGGAGGTCATTTTCCGCCATCTAGAAATCAAAATTTTCCCGGGGGAGAAATGTTGACCCCACCACCTAGATTTGATTCCAGATCTGCATGATTCATATTCCCATTCATCTTATAAGGGGCCCCCTCACTCTGCAAAAAACGTTCCGCCGGCCCTGCCCATCAATGGAAGGATTTTAATACTGCGGAATGGAAGTTAGCGAAGTCTTGCGGCTTGCTTAACCGTTTTTCTTCGATCGTCGCTTCCAACCCTCTAGGCGCGTCTATCCTAAAGAAGGCCTACGATAATATTTACGCAATAGTAAGACGCTTTAATGTTGTAGGCATTTCGATTGGCCGCGATTTAGCAAGTCATCCAGCGTAACTTTGCTATCAGGTTTTATTGAAACTATTGGGGGTGCATTCTATTATTAATATAGTGCAAATACTTTATGCACTGTAACAATGCAAAACTTCATCTTTGGTTCTTGTTGTGATTATGTTTCAATATACTCAGGGGCGGGTTTTTTTTTTTAGCAATGTTGTGCTGGCCGGATCAAAATTTTTGGCGGGCCGGAGTTGGACCGCGTGCCCAGGGTTAAAGTATAATGGCACTACATTGTCATGATTGGTTCCCACGCTTGCTTACTCCATTCGTGATTTTTCTTGGTAGGGCCTATGCAATAATTTTATAAGGCAGCTAAATCGAATAAATACAAAATAACTCAATGGTTCAAAGACATCACATTTTTGAAAAAAACAAAAACAAAAAAAAAACAGATCTATTCAGGCTATTAATCACAAAATCCTATCTTGATTTCATTCGGTAGGCCTACCGACCTACAGTACCTGGACAGGCCTGGTAATAGGCCTACTCCTTTGTATTTTATAATGATGTATTGGTACATGCTAATGTACTCATAGGCCTATTAGATATTTAAATACGTATTGTCCTCTAAAAATAGCAAAAAAATCATAAAAAATAACTTTGAAATAAAATATCAATTAAAAAAACGTCTCATTAAAAGGATCAAATAAATTATTAACTTCGTGACCAGAAACGATATTTAAAAAAAATGTTTTTACTGATTTTACCTGACGTTTTTCTACAAAAATATTTAAATTTGATTAGCGAAAAAATGATCGATGGATGCCTGCCTGTCAATCTGAGCGAATGACAGGAGCGGATGCATAACAAGGGCGAATATAGAGTTGCCCCGGCTTGTAGTTGTAAATGAAATACAGTAGTACTTTCGTTTGTTTTAAATGCAAAAATTCCCGCAAAAATGTGCACTAAAGTTCTGAAATGTTTTTAGTACTTTTTAAAATTACGATTATATTTGTAAGTATGAGTAACTAGGCCTTAATTGCAATTGTTACCGACGGTATTCACCATAGAATTTAAATTAGGTGTCAGATGCCAGGTGCACATATCATTGATGTAGTAGTGCAGTACAGTAATAATGACATCATTTTTCTCCACTGTTCACCATTCGTCTATAGTTCAAAACCCACTTTCTAAGCGGGTGGAAAGAATCATGAATGACTATTATACATTATTTTTTATAAACGTAGAATGTTTAATATTAAATTGTTAACCTAAAAATCAATCAAATACGACTTCTATATAGGCCTACATAAGGCTAATATAGGCTTCTCTCCCGGAATCCACCAAGGCTTTTTCCCTGGCTCCCAGGCAAAGCTTGATCTCGGACGCGAATATTGAAATTGTGAAGCTTTGTCTACTACACTATCAAATTTTGTGACAAAAAAAATGTGAGGTTCCCATATATGTGTACGACGTCATGTCATATCACATAATTATCAAATTGTATCAACAGAGTTTAACGTGTTCAACTCTTATGTTCCATCACATTTTATGTGACACGTTTTTGATGAAATTTGATAGTGTAGACAAAGCTTTGCTCAATAGGAAATGTTTCATCTCGCATGGTGAATCTCTTTCCGCTCGAGTAAAGTCCGCTCGAAGTGGCATCCGCTCGAAAGAAATGGTTCCAGACCTGGAGTCTTTATAACTACCGTGCAGTAAATAAATGGCAATAAAATGTTGAAAGAAAGATCGTTAACAATATTTGCGGGAGTAGTATACTTTGTATACTATATTGTTAAAATAGTTAAGGTGATCAGTTTATTTATTCTTTCAAGTTTTGTAAACGCCGAGCAGAGCCTCGGCCTAGGCCCGACTACTACTACTTAGGTCTAGGGCTGTAGGCCTAGGCCTATGTCTCTGCTGGGGGATCCGGACCAGTCTAGGCTAGGCCTAGCCTATAAAATAAGGGCCTCCGCCTAGGCCTAGCAAGGCCTGGCGAAAGCCTCATAATGTAACGTAGTCCTAGGGGCCTAGATCTTAAGATAGGCTAGCTATTGTGTGGCCTAACTGCCTATAGGCTATGTCTTCCTAAATGTCATGTTTGTTTACTGGTAAATACAATTTAATTTAGACAGTGTATATTTAGCCGGTGTTTAGGGCCTAGGCCCTAGGCTTATTCTACAGTGGTTCTGCCCAAAACCAGATTGGCCCAAACCAACTTGGACCAAAACCAACTTGGCCCCAGACGACACTTCGGCCCAAAACCAACTCGGCTTCAAACCAACTCGGACCAAACCCAGCTCGGCCCAGAAGAAAACTACCCAAATGATACGGAATTACCCAGATGAATAGCGATCGTGATTACCCATTACCCAAATGACAATTATTATTATTATTTTAGTATTAATATAATTATTAATATTATTTATAGGTCTAAAGTTATTTTTTAGTATAACTATTTTTATTCATTTTTATATTATCTGAATTATATATTTTATAATTATTATATTATTATATTTATTGTTATTATTTTAGTATTATTATTATAGGAATTAATATCATATATAGGACTAATTTTTTTTTCATTAGGCCTATTACTTACTATTCTTTATTTATTTTTTATATTATCCGAATTATTTTTTAGAAGAATCCTAACATACCTTTATAAAATAGTGTATATTTGTATAAAGCAAAACAAAATACATGAATGTACGGATTTATTCAGGTACATGTAATATGTAATTCAAACTGGCAACACACAAAGTTTTTTTTCAATTCACAACGAAAAGTTTTAAAGTAAACGGTAGGCCTACTGTTATTTTAGGCTGGCTGCCCCAGCAGAGGTTTTTTTTTTTTTTTTTTTTTTTCTAATGAATCCTCTGAATTTTTTTTTTTTTTTTCCTAATGAATCCTTTGGAATTAAACAGGTGCACTACTGCTATTCCTGGTAAATATTTTTTTAGTGTTTAGTGTTTATTTCAGATTGGCAACACCCAATAGGTTTTTTGATGAACGTAGCACCTTGCAAAAACTGACAATAAAAGTCTACTATTCATTTCACAACTAATTTAACCTGCCGTCTTGAATAAATCAATATCTTGTATTGATAGTACGTATATAGAGTTGTCATCTGGGCCGAGTTGGTATTGGTCCAAGTTAGTTCGTCTGGGGCCGAGTTGGTTTTGGTCCGAATTGGTTTGGGCCGATTTGGTTCTGGGCCAAAGTGGATCACAATACAACAAAAGCCTTGGAATGTTGATTAATTAAAACCTAACTAGCCTAGGCCTAAAGGAAATTGATGCAGTATTAACCTTCATCCATTCATTCATTCATTCTTTATTTAGCCTTTAATAAAAATCACATTACAATTTGCATATACTTTGGGCCGAATTGATTTTGCCGATTTGGTTTTGGGCCAAAGTGGATCACAATACAACAAACTAACAACCAAGGCCTTGGAATGTTGATTAGTTAAAACCTAACTAGCCTAGGCCTAAAGGAAATTGATGCAGTATTAACCTTCATCCATTCATTCATTCTTTATTTAGACTTTAATAAAAAATCACATTACACATTACAACACATACTGTACAGTAAAGAAAAAGAAAATTCACAATACAGAATAAAACTGAAAATCTAAGGAGGCAAGGATTAACAAAAGCAATTAAAATCGCTGTAGCTCACAAACTAGTTTAATCCATTCTTACAAATCCATCCACTCACTGTACTAAATATTAATCTCAGTTTGATTATTTTTAAATAAAAATATTGTATATTTGATATCATTATATTATTTTGGATTATTACAAAACATAAACCAATAATTGACAGTTGATTATTCTATCAGTGCCGACACCATAGTATTAACAGGGGCTTCCGGTGGAGGATTCTCGCACTTCGTCTGCTACAATTGTATATATTTGGAATTGTATGTACTCACAAATACACAGTTTTGTCGATGTTGTAATCTATCCGCAAGACTTGACATGACATGGACATTCTCCGATGACCATGAAAATTACAGTAGGCCTACATGTATCTTTTAAATGCTTCAGAACTAAACTATATTTGTACACACTATTATATCATATCATTGGTTTTTTTCAGCGAAAACAAGACACTTCCTAAAGATTTATTTGAGAAAATTCATGAAGCATACAACCCACAGTTTGTGCAGAATATATTCTAATTTTATATTTGTGATTGGAAAAGGTGCCTATCATGATTATATTTCTAATTCAGGGAACTGGTAAATCTTCAAACAGGTTAATGAACATTAACATGCATTAAACATTACAGCCTTTATACAGTATCTTTCTCCATCCATGCACTAATTAATTAATTGAAGCATGGAGGTATTATTGTGAAGGAGATCACTTTGCAACAGATCCTTTTGACACGACAAACCAATGTGTTCCCCACTTTTGGATCGGGTGCGGGCGTCTTTCTTATTAAAATATTTCGTTAGCAACAGCATGGCAAGAACAGGTTCTTATATGCCTTAACACAGCGATAACATATCTTATAAACTGTTTGATGTTAACTTATTAAATATCTTTGAAATTAACAATGCTCCCCTGATTGGATTTTTTATATTCCAGGGACAAATTCCGCAAAATATTTCTGTTGCAATTACTTCTGTGTTCATTATAATTTTGTCTAAAGATCGATTGGTTCGAATATAAATCTAAGGCAGCGTAAAACTGAAAATTACTATGACTATGGAGTGAATTTTCGAATAGTCCACACTTGTTCGCACTAAAATGATTTAGTTTATTATAATCCTCAATCATTCCTTAATTACTATCTGTTAGAATTATCAAGTTTTATCCAATTATGGAAATTCAAGGTGAAATATACTATACTTTTAATGCTTAATGTAAATGTTTCATTAAAATTGAACTCTTTCTTGTAGAAATATTAATATGTTTGGTATTTCTTGAAAAATCAATGTATTAGCTTCAAGGTAAAAATGATTGCGCAGCTTTAGTGATTGACTGAAAAGTAATGCGCATTGAGAAAAGAAGTTGCTCTCCATTTCGCCATGCTCAATTTTTTGATAAACTAAGCCTGCCAAGTATTTGGTGTCAGTGAACACATTAGACTACAAAGGCATTGCGCAAATGTTCTTCACACGCTGCAGCAGCTTTGTTCTTGGCTCATTCGCATAGCGCTGCGTATGCGGAGCCTTTTCGAGTGATCTTCCCAATAATACCTCAATTGTTGAAGGTTTTATATTCCTGCATATTGAAGGTGTTTTTCGGTGTTCCTATTTTTCAGAAGCCTGGTGTTTATAGTGGTCCAAGGCTAACAACATTTTTGTTAAGCCACTGTGAAAGTTTGAAAAAAAAATATTGGCCTACTTTTTGGTGTATTGGTGCCCACCTACAAACTGTCCTGCCAACTTTTATACAATTGGTACCACAGCATCATTATAGAAGGTAAGATGCTTCTTTGATATACTATTTCCTGTAACTTGGAGCTTGTAATGAAGTTTATATGACCCACTTAAAAAGTATAGTACCTGTTATTTTTGTAGGTGGTAACTTGTAATGGGTCTACATTACAGTATTCACTAGTAATGAATTGACCAGCAGAAAAAAACTTTAATAATCAATTTTTTTTTTGTAGGCGTATAAAACTACAGTATAACCAAAAATTGCTTGTCTTGTTTTCTGCTTATTGATTCTCAAACTTGAGTTTAAAAATCACATCAATTCTTGACATTTATATAAAATAACAGTTAACATTTGTTTGTCAGAAAAACATAATTTCTATACCCCTATACAATTTTCAATTGATGCATTATAAGCCTACTGTTATTTAAAATCTAGCTGACGAGGGCACTATGGAGTTTTTTTTTTTCATCAGATGTTAGGAAATTTAAGATATCAACTTTGTACTTGCAGGGAAATCATATTAACCAAAGATGGTGGAGAAATCATTTTACATTGGGAAGACAACCAAGAAGGAGGGAAGATGTATGAGGAAGAAAATAGGCCAACTGTTATCATTCTGCCTGGATTGACAGGTGCTTGGTAGAATTAGTGGTAGTTTAGTAAATGGGTTTGCCAGCTGAGCATGCAGTCCACCCTCATGATAAAGTATCCCAATATTTGGACTTTGAATGCCAAGTTCTTCAGCATTTGAGTAATTGATAAAAAATTCTCTGGATACAGTGTTCTCCCAATAGAAAAAACATTTTAAATTTGTCTCGTATAATGTCATCTAAGCACGGAGCGTGAGATGTTACCCCTTTTGGGTGGGGTTTAATGACTTGGAAATCCAACAAAACATACAGCCATAGCCATAGGCCTAAGGAGTGATGTTTGTTTATTGATGGAAGGCTTGTTTAGGCATGGAAGAAATAGTTTACCTGCTAGACCTAATAAATAAGTGGTTTTTTATTTTAACAACACACAATTTTTACCAGTTAACTGGTTATTTTTACTGCTAAAATTAATGGTTAACCGGTTCTGGGAGAACAGTGTGATCATAATATTACTCTATTCTAAAACCTTAAGTTTCGAACTCTATTCACATTCTGATAGACCGCCCCCTCTATCTCGTGATGGTACTTTTTTTTCATTTCATTGAGTGCATGCAAAATCAAGGCAGTCGGACCTCTTGCAATCCTATACTCTTTGCTACCACACAGTAAAATATTAAAGCTAAATCGCTTACTGTTTTGTTTACCTTGTATGTCTTGTGTAAATAAATGTGTAATATTTACGTATTTTAGGTTGTAGTTCAGCAGGATATGTTATGCAAATGGTAGATTCTGTTGTGAGACTTGGTTACAGAGCAGTTGTCTTTAACTACAGGGGTCTAGGAGGAGCACAACTAAAGGTACTAAGCAGCTTTCGATTTGGACAATGACGACAGGCAGTACTGCGCATGCGAATACATGTGGAAGCTGTTCGTTGTGTGGATTTGGCAACGGGCTTTAAGCGATTTGGCGTTGTGTTGACTACAACAACGTGAGTTTTATAAATACGCGCACGCTGGAGTGCCTGCATAATTGATCACGCGATACGAGGGAGCGCGTCGTCCTGTAAATCGAAACAGCTTTGATGTTGAGATGGGAAGTGCATAGTACGACGTTCATGGTTGACTAAATTCCCCATCGCAGCTCCCCGCGTCGCCCATTTTGAAAGCTCACTATTAACTGTAGTTCTGTGTAAGAGCAGAGTTTTCTGAATTTGCAAAATGTAATTGTAGAAAGTGAAAAGCAAAAGCAAACGATTGGATCCAGAATAATAATTAGATCCAAGTAAATAATTGCATGTGGACAAAGAAGAATCCAGACTACTTTCCTAATTTTGATACGTATAAATACAGTAGGTACCAAGTGGTTCACTACTGGGGAGGAAAATGAAAGGCGGCCTGGAAGTGAACTGGCCAATCTACCTTAATGCTGAGGCTTAGTATAATGAGCTAATAGCTGAGCTCATTCCCATACATTCAAATAATACTTGACTACCTTTTTATAGTTTAATGAACAAATTCTATCTTCTACAATTCCTGAAAATTGAATTGTTAACATGTTTAAAACTTTTCATTTTCAGACTCCTCGTACATATTGCGCAGCAAATACGGATGATTTGGAACTTGTGATTAAACATGTTCATGACCTTTACCCTAGTGCAACATTGATGGCTGCTGGTACTTCATTAGGAGGGTAAGTACATGCAGTAAAAAAATTAGGTAACATTCCTTTTGGATCATGATTTTGGATGGTCCTATGGTAATGGTGCCACAAGCAGTTCTCTGAGATAAATATGTGTGCCTTATAAAATGATATAATTATTATTGTTATTAAATGTTGTTGTTGCTATTTTTAACATAGAATGAACGTTACTCCAAATAAAGAGAGGGAGGCCATAATTCAACATTTCGAACTTTAATGGGTCACCTTCAGGAATGAGAAAAGCTTTGACAGTGATTACAAAAAATGCTTAATATGCAAATGAGAAGATTACACAAAGCTGTTGCTATTTTTGTTTTATTCTTAATATTTTTATTATGATTATGATTATTGTTATTAATAATAAGGCATTAAAAATGTAATTTTAATTAATATTATAAGAGCACAGGCACTGGATCTACTTTTTAAAGGTGGAGTAATATGGGTCAGGTTAGGGTCAAAAAGTATGATATGCCATGATGTCTCGACATTTATTCGACAAGGTTCATTTTTATTGTTTGCATTTTAAAATAATAATAATAATTGTCGACTTACATAGCGCATAATGTAGAGACCTCTATGAGATTAAAAGTCGAATATAATAATAATAATGATATTCTTACTAATATTCTTACGTTTTTTTTATCATTGTTCAAATTATCAAAAATATCAGTATTCAATTTTCAATATTATTATTGTTATTTTTTTTACAGTATTATCTTGTTCAATTACCTAGCTAAACAAGGACACAATACCCCGCTGGCAGCGGCATTTACCGTATCTACAGCATGGAATATGTTTGAGTCAACTAAAGAAATAGAAATGCCTTTGAACCGGTGGATTTTGAACTATCCACTGGCCCGTAACCTACGTAGTGTGCTCCAGAGGTACTGTAAACAATTAAAAAATGTATATGTAGTGCTTTTTACAAACCAAAGATTACAGTTTCTAAAAACTTATTATTACCCATGGCTATTGGGCATATAATTTGGCTAACCTTTATATGTGCCACCTTTTCTGCTCCTTTACAGTATTCACAGTCATTTTTAGTTTTGTCTCAGTGTTGCATAGAGATGAATGAAATATTTTTTAGAATGAATTATATTTTTGTTCAGCATGTGATGATGATATTAATAAAATATGAGTGTTTATCCCTTGCTTGCTCAGTATTTATTTTATGTGAAACCTACTTTTTTCTATTATAGTCATATACACACATTTAAAGGTTGTTTGGATCCCAATGATCTAGAAGATGCATTAAAGGTAAATTTTACTTTATATAAAATTTTAATTATTGATTGTTCTCATGGAACACTTTCTTGTACTGTATATAAATGTCTGTACTTCTACATTTTTACCTATAATTCCAGAAAATAAATAAATGTAAACAGGCAATGTAAAATTTAAAAAAAAAAATCAGCCAGTTCATTCAAAAGAAAAAGTCTTAAATGAAATTCGAAAATCATAATTTACATATTAAAATCCATTAATGTCACCACACCAATTTTAAAATTGAAAAAAATATATGTATAAAGTTAAACATTTTAAGGACTCATTGATTAATTGTGGAGGAAGAATTTCTGTTTTACTTTGAGCAAAGGCCAGGTGAAGTTTGATATGGTTATATTTTTATTTTTTTTTATTAATTGATTGATTGATAGATCGATTAATGTTTAAAATCTGCTTTAAATGCACAGGCAACTACCATACGGGAATTTGATGCGAGCTTTACCGCCAAAATATTTGGTTATGCCAACGTGGATGAATACTACGCTGATGCATGTCTACACAAGAAAATACATTCCATCAAAATTCCAACAGTGTGCATGAATGCAGAGAATGATCCGTTTTCTCCACTACGAGGTACTGTATAATATAAATAATAATAATTCTAGATTTATATAGCACCTCAAGGTGCTTAGGCGAGACTTTTTTTTATACCTTGTTTGGCGAACCCGTCGACTGCAAATACTGATGATTTCGAATTAAAAAAATAATTTTATTTTTGGCCAATTAGCGCACCCACCACCACAAAAAAATGACAATTTTTAGAAAAAAATAAAAGTTTTTCTTTATTTTTAAAAATTTAATTTGAAATCACCAAAGATATTATATGTATATTCCTTTGTAATAAATTTGAAGCATTTAACCATCCTATTTTACATTCACCAATAAAATTTTATTTTTATTTTCTCCTCTGTCTGGATGTTTTTGGTAAAACTATTTGCTAAATAAGAAAACATTTTATTTTTATTTTTATTCTGCACTCCTCGGATGACCTTTAATAAAATAAGTAACATAAAACAAGGAATAAAATAAGTCTCACCTTAACACCAACAAAGAGGAGAAAATAGACAATAAACAAATGCACAAATGTACCATAAGTTATGTGTTTAATATTTTGGGTTTTAGTTTAAATTTTAACAATTAGTTTGATGATTATTAGTAAATCTTACAATAGTTTGGTAATTGTAATGATTTATTTTCAGCCCACACAGCAATTCTGCAAGATTCTTTCATAGTGTGTTACTTTCTTATCATTTCATGTCCTGTTACTTCCATTTTCATCCTAAAGCCTTACATTTATCGTTCCTTTTGTTGCTATTTCATTGTGTGTTCCCAAATCTTCCATTTTTTCCCTTAATTATAGTTTCTTATCTTTCCTTTTCTATTCTGTTCTTATAATTTCTTCATTTTTCTTTCTTTTGTTTCTTGTTTTTCTTTAGTTTTCCCTTCTGATGTTTCCTTATTTTTCCTTTTCTTGTCCTTTCTTATGTAGATAAAAAAGTAGATAAGATGCAAACAAATTATTATTTTTTTTTAGCTCTACCAATTGAAGACTCTTGTTCGCAGGACAATGTCGCACTCATTGTAACATCGCATGGAGGTCATCTTGGTTTTCCGGAGAGTGTTTGGCCAAGTGGTAAATCTCTATGGCACTGCATATTTGCTGATGTTGTGGATGCTGTTTTTAAACACCGCAATGAAATTGTCAGAAGTGATATATGATATGAATTAATGAAATAAAATTGAAAGTATTTAGGACAACATAGTGCAATTGATTTTTAAGGAAAGTGATTATATTGCATATTAAGCATTCTTGGTTAAATACCATTTTTAAAATACAAGGATATCTTTTTATTCATAATTAAAATCACCTCCATTTTATGTAAATTGAAACTTACAACCTTTTCATACTAACAGAAAATTTATTCAACTTTTACTAGTTAGTAACAAATTGTAACAACTTTGATCTCCCGAGATATTTTCTTTGTTTCACACACACAATAATCCAAACCATGCAAAATCTTGGGAGAATAACAGTAAACCTAGGTATCTAGGTTAGTCTTAGCGTGCGACATTATTTTGTTTTCCGTTGCCTGATGACAGTACGAATGCATGCGCACTGAATAACTCGGGACATCTCGGAAGGATAAACAGGCCTGTATTTCTTTAGAGATATCGCAGGGCCCCTGCACTATTGTGGAAAAGTTTACATGAATTTGCTTTTACACTACACAAACTTGGTTACAGCTTGTTGGTAGTTGTTACTATTTGCAAAATAGTGTGAAAAGGTTATTAGTTTAAAGAAATTAACATTCTTGCTTTCTAATCCAAGTGTCTCTTTTTCTTATAACATCTTCCTCAACCTCAAAATGTGATAATTATAAAACAGCATACAATACTATCCTTTGATTTTCTGGTATAGGCCTATGTGCTTGAAGTGAAAGAAAAACAATATTGAGATCTTAGTGATGACTTTTAGATTTTAATGATGATTATTACTGGTACTGGTACGGACATTTATAAAGTGCAGTTCTTTTTCCCTGGTCATTGGGTCCACATGCTTTAAGTGTTGCTGCTGGTATTCATCGCAGGAGCAAGCAACCCCACCAGGTACTTATTTTGTACTTTGGATGGAGAGAATCAATGCAGATGAAGTGTCTTTCTCAAGGACACAAGCGAAATGCACAACAAGGGTGTGAAACCTTGATCTCGAGGTTGGAAAACCAAACCGTTCCTGCTGCACCAAATTGCTTCCACATAATTATTGATTAATATTATTATCTATCAGCGCATTATTTTATTCAATGAAAATACGATGTACTTTTGTTATGCGATAATACAGCAGGACTATGTTGTTGACGATATTTTTTATACGTGATGCATGACTATGCAAATTAACGTGTATATAAATATAGGTACGGTAGCAATTACCTGAAAATTAAGTTAAGAAAAATCAATCTTTATCTATTGTATACAGGAGATATGCTTCGTTTGTGTTTAATTTGTTTTATAAATTTACATGTAACTGTATTATTGTAAGGCAATAATATAGTTAGTCTTGTTTATTCTAGGCGCTATCATAAGGACCAAATGTCAAATGTTTGGAATGTGAGTAGGTAGCAGCAATAAAGTTATATATGAAATGGCATAGATTGTATTAATTCTGATACAATAATTATATTAAGGTATGTTACTTATCACTTCGCTATATTGCTGGTAGTGGCATTGATATTTTCAAATTTATATTTGTATAATTACTAGGCCTATTTGCTCAATTTGGCTTTATTAAAGCAATCTTAATACTTTATAAATTCAGTAGGGCCTAATTATTATAGTTCCTGCAACTTGGACAGAGGCACTATAGACATCATCAATACTATTTACAGTAATCTATTTTATTAGGCATCTTTATTGTTTAATTTCCCATAAAATTAATGGCTTTTTTTTTTTGCTATTACAACATATTATAGTTTGTTTTTCTCTACACACAATAGAGAACATCATCTCCGTAGGAAAAAGTTTATAATACAGTAATGACAGCAAAAGGCCCCGGGTTCGAATCCAAGTTGAGAAAACATTTTTTCACACTCGCAGATTCTTCTTTAAAGCTGGCTCCGAAGGAAAAAGTTGTTTTTATAAGTTTTGTACAATTGAATTTTTTAAGCCCTGTCCATAGTATTAAATTTTATTTGACAAAAACATGTGACAAAGTTATGGTCTTGATGACATCACATCGTGGTCTATAGGCACATCATGACTATATATGGACATACAACTGAGCTTTGTCAAAGAAATGTTGATAGAGCTTAAGAC